AAAATAGGGCCCCTGTTGTGACGGGACAGACGACATAAAAAAAAGATGAATGTAAGAAGAACAAGAACAACATCAAACAATCATTGGCATTGGAATGAAAACAAAACAAACCATCATCACCATCACGAACAGTCGAACATCATGGATGTTCGTTCAAATTCTTGCGTTGCTTAGGTCGAATTTGAACTTAAGCATAGCCTCTACTAGGCATTTAGTTTTTGTTACTGTATAATTCATGCGTTGTCCGCCCAAATCCAAATTAACCAAGAATAAATCATTTTGAGGTTATGTTTCGCTATTGGATCCCAGGCTACCTTTGCCTATTGCTAGGCCTAAATTGAGGTAAACACGTATGTTTAAATTTGGGTTTTAGTTAAAATATTATTCTGAAAATTGTAGCCTATTATTGTAAGGAACTAGCTTATTAGTCATGCTGCCAAGTACAATGTGTAAATAAGGTCTAGTACCAATGCTTATTATTGTTAAGTAATTATTTTTGTTAGGTAAAGTACAATAGCACATTCATTGGGCTAGGCCTACTTACCTATTCCTATTATGTCTTGCCATGTTTTCTACATTTAGCCATCCTGCATAAGTTACCCTAAATAAATATAAACCTTAACTGACATGAGTTCAATAGTGTTGGCCACCATCTCATTTTCGCTAGAGGTTAGGTACTTAAATGTCTTCAATGAAGTTGGAGACTGTGTAGTATGTCTATCTATTAACTATTGTTTTAGTTTGCTATTGAAGGTGACAGGTTTTTTGATGGTTTTGAGTTGTGGTGGTAATAAATTGAAGAAGTAAGAGCCGGGAATAGTGAGGACTAGGCCTATTGTTGAATTTCTGCAATCGATGTTGTGGCAAGTCTATGCTATGTGTCTTGCGGAGGTTGTATGAATGTTGTTCTGATCTTAGGGTAGGTGTCGATTTTTTTGAAGTGTGATGGATTCCAACAGGTACAGGGATATGACTGTAAGGATTTTGTGATCTCTGAAAATCGGCTTGCAGTGTTCATGGGATGGCAGTTGAAAGATTGTCCTTATGGTCTTCTTCTGGATGGTGAGGATGCGTTTCATGTTCTTGTCTGCTGTGGATCCCCAGACAACAACTCCATAGTACGCAAATGTGAAGAAAAGAGGGAGTGGTAGGTTATTTATGCTGTAGGTTCAGTAGTGATGGCTCTAATTCTTCGAACAACGTGGTGTGCAGAAGATAACTTCCCACAGAGGTAGTCAACGTGGTCCTGCCATCTGAGATTTTGGTCAACATATATTCCGAGGAAATTTTGTTGAGCCCGATAGGGGTATGCTGAGGTCATGCCAATTGCCACCAGATTCGTTTTTGTTGTTTGGAGTAAAGTTTACAAGGACAGTCTTTGCTTTGTTAATATTAAGTTTCATAGAGTTGCATGTAGTGTTTGCTCTGTCAATTGTTGAGTTTACTAGGTTACTATTGTCAATAAGATGGTTGGTGGGTACTACTATGGTTGTGTCGTCTGCAAATAAATTACAATTTATGTTGCCTTTGAATGATTCTGGTAGGATGTTGATGTCAGGAAATACAGTGGACCGACTATCAAGCCCTGTGGAACGCCTCTGGTAGTCTTCCTCAAACTTGACTTAATACTTGATACGGTGTTTTGTTGCTGGTGCTGAATTTCTACAAACTGGAATCTGTCTGTTAGGTAGTCTACAATCCAACGCCGGGCTATGTCTGTAATGTTTAATTGCTGCAGTTTGCTCATAAAAATATTCCAGTCTAAGTTATCGAATGCTTTTTGCAGGTTTAGAAAAAATCCTGTTGCACTTTTTTACCTTCCCAAATGTCGTTTATGTCCTTGCATAGCTTAGGTATTGCTGTGTTTGTGCTAAACCCCTTCCTAAACCCATGCTGGCAAGGGGAAAGTAGGTTGTTGTCTTCCAAGTAGGCTATCAATTGATTATGGACTGTCCTTTCGAGCAGTTTAGAGATGGTGGGTAGGTTTGAGATAGGCCTATAATTATTGGGGTCTGACCTTTCGCCCTTTAGGTACTGGGTAAATTTTGGTAATTTTCATTTTACTCAACCTTTTATATAGGTTTTGCCAAAGTTCAAAAATTTAAGTGTTCATGGTACATTTTTTATTTATTTTGCTTCCGACTAGTTCATGGATCATAAACAGACTTTTCTTAGCACTGCACTAATTTTTGTAGGCTACACAAGTTATGAAGAAAATAAAATTTAATATGATGGATACCACAATGTGTCTTAGGCCCACAAAAAACATTAGGTGGACGTAACTTATATATCTATCTGCCGCCCTTAGTGATAATCACAAAATATGAACACTTTGCCAATAATCTTGAGTATTCTTGTGGGCGGCAGACGGATATATTCGTCAACCTTAGGCTATTCCTACCCTTTTTTGATTTTTTATCCATAAAAATGTAGGCTAACTATAATTCTGAAGTAGGTAAATCTGACCACTCAGTTCCGCTCCCATAACCTCATAGGTACCCATTCCCCACCAAGACTTCCACTACGTAACGACTGTTCTTCAGGTTCATCATATCCATCACATTCCATACTATCATTTTCATTGCCAAAAAATCCCCTCAGTAATAAGTTACTTTTACCAAGCATATCAAAACATCTTTAAATTTCAGATTGTTCGGATTGGTCACTTTAGCTCAATAACAAAAAATGAAGCCCAAAACACAAATGTAAACATCACTCACTAACAACCACGTGTGAAGTGCCAGTTTCACAATATTAACTCTATGGTGAAAAATAATAACTGAAGCAGCTGATAAAATTATTATTGCAAACCACGAAAACAAAATACATTTATAATGCAGTGTAATGTTTATTTTTGCATTATAAACAATGAATATCAATTTGTTTAATGGGCGATTATTGTCTTTAGCCCAGAAAAGAAATTTCTCGGGATGGATGTATCCGTTTTCAGCCTGCAAAGTAAACGAAGATTGACGGAGATATCCGTCCAAAGCCCTGGAAGGGTTAAATCAGCTCACTTGAGTTTTAAAGATTCTAGGCCTAATGCTAGTCAAAATATTATGGGATGAGTTTTAGACTTTTTGAGTTTTAGATTAGCCTGAATATTTATTGTTAGGTCATAGAGTTATTAAGGACCCAAAACTTTATGCCAGTGACATTTGGCCAGTGAGTTTTGGGGGACGTTGGTATAACCAGAAAACCCGTTATCCGGACTGGCCTTGGTCCCGAGGAGTCCGGATAAGAGGGAGTCTACTGTATGCAAGAGGAATACCCAACAACTGACTTTTCTGAAGTATCAATAATCTTTCTATGTATTTATGTATAATATTCTTTCAGATGTTGTGTAAATGACGCCATATAGATGATCTTCATAAAATCACAACCAAGTTAAGACTCCAAGAATCAACTTATACACTGCCCTAACTTAGAAAGGTACTGAACCGGAAATGTGAATTCTCAAAGAAACTGTTGAAATAACTTCATACAAAAAGAAGCAGTTATAGGTGAATCGGTTAAGGTAAACTGATAAATGAAATGTGTTACTATTAAAAAATTGTTTTGGAGAACCATAAGTATTTGCATAGTTAAATATTATCCTGATAATTGGAGATAATAATTTGTACAAATGCCAAATCATAAAGATCATGTATACATTTTGAAGTCTGTTGTTTGAGAATTACTCACACTCATGTATAGTCAAGGCAAAAGCCCTAACCAGTGTCTTACATGTCAGAAGTGTTTCACAAGACGGTCCGATTTGAAAAGACACATGTTGAGTCATTCAGGCGAACGCCCTTACGAGTGTCTTTCGTGCAATAAAGCGTTCACACGTCAGTCGTACTTAAAGACACACATGTTTAGTCACACCGGAGAAGGATCCCATCAATGTCCTGTATGTGATAAATGCTTTACACGCCGATCTGATATGAACCGGCATATGTTGAGTCATACTGGACAGCGACCTTATGAATGCCCAGCTTGTGAGAGAACATTCACTAGACAGTCGGACCTCAAGAGACACATGTTGAATCACTCTGGTGAACGGCCTTTTCAGTGTTCTGTGTGTACCAAGTCATTCACGAGACAGTCAGATTTACGGAGGCACACTTTAATACACACGGGAGAGCGGCCCTATCAGTGCATGTCGTGTGACAAGTCATTTACTCGTCGATCGGACCTACGAAGGCATGTTGAATCACACTGGAGGGTAGAGTTTGTCAACACGTAGCATGTATGATTTATAATAGAAGTTAACATGTAGGTTACCTAATATAAGTTCTGTTACAGTGATACTAATTTAATCTAAAATAGCTAACACATAAGATAGAAGAGAGTTTCCTCAAGTCAAATTGTTGGCTTCTTTACTGCCAATTTAACTATGTTGTAGCTTGGTTGTATTAATGTCTAGTCAAAAGATGTAAAATCTGAGGTAATTTCTTTGAAAACCTACATGCCTGACAAACAGTCAAGCGCAACAGTAACTAAGCACTATTGTTTTACAACAATTGTTGAGTCTTAAACTCAACCCTTAATCAATCTTCTTAATTGCCTACCACTCTAAAGAATCTCAACCCTCAACAGTAATTGAAACAATTGCCGAAGTCTAGAAGTTAATTACACTAACAAATATTTTTATGTACGGTACAGGTTTCTGCTTAACCAGAATAAAGGGAAGAAGTCTGTTTTGGATGCAGTTTTCCCAACATTCATTGGTTATTGAAGAGTTATTTTTGTAGGAAATATACCCCAAATTGTATCCCTCTCCCTGAGGTCAGATGTGAAATATAGTTCAGGTTGTTGAAACTACCAAAGTGTAATAATGCATGTAACCTTGGTGTAATATAAGCCACAAGTGTCCACTATTTATCATTTTGTTTGGTATCAAAACAGAACCTTCTCCCGCTTAAACTTGATCTGCTTCCACGCTATAAGTTCGGAAAACTCTTTTTTCAAACTCTGTGCACTCTCAACCGCTCTAGGTCAGCTCCCTCAGGTACCAACAACCCAGCATGCCCATCAGTAATGTTGACCTCAGTGACTTAGTCATGACACTCGCAGGTAGGAACAGATTGGTAAACATAGAGGCTCCAGTCTGGCCAATACTAGTCGTGATGAAGGTGTTGTGTAGTTGGCACCGCTGAGGCACAGCTTGTGGTACTGCAGTGTGGTGGCCATGGCTCTTAGGCCTACGGGATTTAGGATACACAGCCACACACGCGCCTGCATCCACCAACACAACTGGTTGATGTGTGACGTACTTACAGCTGCAAGTCAGGCTCATAGGGCAACCAGCCTACCATCTCCTGGGTGTCACAAGGCTTTAGCTCTTTTGGTCTGTCCACCTATGTATCCCTGTCCCTTTTCGTGACCTGATTAACTCTCTGTTCAGCCAGTTCAGAAACTGGTGTCCCTTCACCAGCTAATCTTCAGCCAGCTAACACCTGGCTAATCTTTTGGCAGCACTGTTCTCTACCTCTGCATTGCCTTTGTCTGTCCTGGTGTCCAGGAGCTCTGTCTGAGAGGTGGGAGGGATGTCACACTTTGAGTAGTCAAAACTGGCAATCTCTAGTCGACATTGTGAAGTGACACAACTAAAAATCCCTAACTTTTTTCATTGTCTCAAACAAAGCTGATGGTCTAGCTCAGCAGGCCAACACCGTGCAAACAATGCTATCACGGTGCAAATTTGTATGATCGCTTTCAAACTTCTACTACCCTTTACGTACATTTTCAATGTCCAAAGACTTTCTCAATTCTTATCTGTAGATTGATGATGAACTTTAATAGGGAGACCCCTTAAACCACAGAAATATGAAATATAATTTGTCTGGAGTGTTGATCTTGCCTCACATTGTTATTGGCTGTTGGCTGAGTGTTATAGAATAATCATTGCAAATGGGTGGGAGGCAGATAGAATAGTAGTGGATGGAATAACAAACAAAGTCGCTAGAGTCAGATTTGAACTCGATTGCTTGGCCTTGATGGTAGCTTGTTGGAGACTTTAATATGTGCACGATACTTGAATATGTATTAGATCATTATTGTTGCATCTTGATCTGTGAGAAAAAAATGACATTTTGATAGTTATGTGACCCTGAACCTCATGCTGTGATCCCTGGAGGTGTAAACATAAGCTGAATAGAAAATCAAGATTTAAACTTTTTAATCAGAGTAGCTTATTATTTTATTTATTGTTTATTGAGATGACATTGTTCAAAACTGTTATTGGTACCGGTAACCAAATGTGAAAATATTTAAAAATGTGAAAAATCAAAGACATCAGTTTTGGGGCTACTCTGTACCAACTTTTATCTGTCCATATTGTTAACCTCATAACACGCAAAGAAACGACTATACTGTATATAATATACCTATGTCCGGATGGAAATTTTATTTACCGATTTACGCCAGTGGCATTTTTTACGTTTTGAAAGGGAACTGTCCAAACCCTGGTCTTGTTACAATCTAACGTCGACCTTTTTGTTAGATAGCATCATTAATTCATAGCCCAATGACAAATGGCATCTGGGTCTGGAAACAATCTCACTGGGATTCGAACTAGCGACCTTCAGATTTGAAGGCAAGCTCTATAACCACTCGGCTACCATTAACGGCTGAACGTATTCAAGCCAAACCTACCAGGTTATTTCGACAAACAGTAAGCATGTTATTTAACAATTACATTTAAGTTTGATAATGACTGTACAATTTAAAACTAATAATATAAAATTGTTAACATTTTTAGCCTTATAAGTTGCTATGATGGTTACGAGATAATAATGTAAATGTAAACAAAGAATCATAGCACATGCTTATAAGAAAAAATACAGTACAAAGGAAAAAAAAACATTTGGTTGTAAACTATTGTTTAAAGAATATCAAGAAAGTATTAAAGGGCATTAGGAAAACACCACTGATTAAATAGGTAGGTACAGTATTTTACTGATTTTCTTGATTTAATCGAAAATTGGAACTAGAACAAAAATGTAAATCAACTATTTTAATTTGTATAAGCAAACTCTCAAGCCAATATTTATCCAAAGTTACCACAAGGCTATTAGAAAACATTGTTTACCTTTACCATTGCCTGAAAATAGTTACTGGTTTTCATGCTGGTTTGATTTATGCTGGAAATGTGTGCTTATGTCAAATAAATGTTTTTATTAGCATTGCAAAAATATATATAGATTTATAGGCTAAATGGGAACCATAACAAGCGTTTTGAATCGCGGTTTTAACTAGACAGCAATTAATTGTGGAATCAAAATACTGTACAGGGCTATTCAACAATATGAACCCAGTTCTGGGACTTTCTTTCTGAAAAAGTATAAACTAGAAAAAAATAAGTTTTACCATTGTTTTACACTATTGGAAAGAAAAATGTTTCAAATTGTAATTACACTGATTACAATTGCCTAATGTGCCCCCCCCCCCCCCCCTGTGCTGCATGGCAAACATCTAATGCCCCCAGTACACTCTCGCCGAGGCAAGGCGAGCGTTGGCGAGTGCGAGAGTGTACACGGTTCGCTCGTCTTCTCTCGCCTTGACTCGGGTCGCCTCGCCTCGCCTTGCCTCGTGCTCGCCGGCGCTCCATCTGGAGTCGGTTTTTTGACACGAGTCAAAGGACCCGAGACTGCACGAGTGGCGAGCGCTACTTCCACATCGAAGTTTGTTCCATTTCGACTGCGAGAAAATGCGAGAGTGTACACGGTTACCTCGCATAAGCTCTCGCCCGAATTACTCGAGGAGTGCAAGCGTCTCGGCGAGAGTGTACTGGGGGCATATGAAGTTCATTGCACCACGGTTTTTGGCTTCAAATTTTTACATTACATGGAAAGTATTTTGTATGTAGTCAATGGTACTAAACCATAGTATCTAGGCGTTTTTCATTTTATTGAACATTTTATGTGGTGATTTTTTTGTAAAAACCCATAACAATCCGGAAGAAATTGAATATTTTTTAAAAATGCCTGAAGTATTTTGATTAAAACTTAGTATGTTATAGTCCTTTCAACTCTAAACAAAACCGTGCAACCCGCATTGCTGAAAAAATTGTGGTTCAAAAGTTATATTGCAACTTTTGTGATTTTACCACTAAAATACCATATTTTCTCTTACCACTTGCCCATGATAAGGGTTGTTAACTAGCTAATGGGAGAAATGTGTCAGATTGCTGATACTATTACAGTACTCTTATATTGGTTTTAGTTAGTTGTTCTATTGATTTTAGTATAATACTAATTTGTAAACTTTATTTTAGTAATTCAAATTGGAATGTCAATTTTATTAGATGCGACATTAATTTTCCTCCAAAATATGAGGGAAAGGGGCAGGGATGGCACTTGGAAGAATTTTGAAATGTGTGTAAAAAGTCTTTGTGAATACATTATATAAAGTATGAATGTATATATATTTCAAGGGCAAAACACTTTCAAGGAATCTAAGCATTTGGAAATATTAACTGCAACCTGTTATTGACTGTACTACTATATATTCTATTTATTTGTATTGTATAAAATTTAAAAATGTTATTTGCTTTAACTTGTCATAGACAAACACAAAACTGCATTTAGTATTAAAATTTGTTGTATTATAACCTTTTCAATTCTGGAATCAAAGAAATGCTTTAAAATAAATGTGTCCTTTTACCATAATTAGCTCTCTTTAAATACATTTGACCTGTTTGTGTGGATTGTTGGAATTTCCAATTTAAATTTATTACCTTTTACATATACGTACCATTTATGTACATACCTACTTTGTATTTGTAAATATATCTTTTAAGTATTATAAAAGGAGTTTAATTTACTGTGTTATTTAAGATAGTCTTTGTACTCCCAATAAATATATTGTTACTCAAAGTCAAACTCTAAAAATATTACTACATACTCCTCTGAGAAGAGTTGAGGTGCTTACATGTGAAATTAAATTGGCAGAGTAGTTAAATAGTTTTACCCACGATTACTAGAAAAACATCAACAAATGACGTTTTTGGCCCGAAAATAAACATGATTTAACATCGGTTAAATGGAACTGCTAAAACATATGTTCAATGCTATTAGTATAGGATTCGGGCCAACAACGTCATTTTGTTTATGTTTATGATCCATACCGGGTTTTACCTAACCCGCAATGTTAAACTTCCCTATCCCAAGCGTGATGTATATAACTTGGTTACTTCTCGAGTGATGTAAAGTTGAAAAAAACTCACTCGGTGATGTAATGAAACCCATTTATATAACATTGAGTGCTTAACTTAAAAAATATACCTCTATGGAGCCAACTACGTTCAACGCTAGAAATCAGCTGTGCGCTTGAATTTTAATGTTATGCTTTGAAGAATTTTCCTAACCTAGCTTTTGTTTCTAAATGAACGTTACTGTTAGAAGATGAATGAAATGGATAATAAAAAATATTGTTCGTAATCTCCAGTATATTGTCGGGTCAGGTAAAATCTTGTACGTTACACGTTACGCAAGAGCGTGTTTACATCACTTCGGTAAATTACGCAACTCGCTTCCGCTCGTTGCACAACATTCACCTGCGTGATGTAAAAACGCTCTTACTATACTTGTAAGGTAAATAGCTATTACCTAACCCGCAATGTTAAACTTCCCCATCCCAAGCGTGATGTATACAACTTCCTTACTTCTCGAGTGATGTAAAGTTGAAAAAACTCACTCGGTGATGTAATGAAACCCATTTAAATAACACATTATAGATGTGTTACAGTGCTTGAGTGCTTAACTTAAAAAAATATACCTCTATGGAGGCATCGACGTTAAACGCTAGAAATCAGCTAGGGTATGCGCTTGAATGTTATTGTTATGCTTTTAAGTATTTTCCTAACCTAGCTTTTGTTTGTAAAAGAACGTTACTGTTAGACAATGAGTGAAATGGATAATGAAAAATATTGTACGTAAACCCATGTATATTTATGTATATTGTAAACCCATGTATATTGTATGTATACCCATGTAAAGTTGGCGTATTTCTCAATCTTTAAAATGATATGGGTTTTACGTATTTTAATTGCAGCCAGTTGACAGAATCAGTCCAAAAACGGGAGGTGGCGTCGGGCGCAAGAGCGCTCGCAGCGCGGAACCGCCATTATAGTTATAGCCAGTCAGAGAGCTATAGTTCTTTTCAACACAAGCTTTTACTTTTCCAACTCACAATTCAATAAAGAACCTTTTAAACTAATAGTAGGAACTCACTTTTACCCGCGGGCTTTGCCCTGCTTGACTTCATAAGTACATTAATATAACTATTCATTACTGTACCGCACCGGTTTGGGGGAATTTTGAAATGGTTACTTTGCAGAACAACATTGTAAGTTGTCAGAGCAGATCCCTAGTAGAGTATTAAAATAAAAGACTATGACATTTAAGCTGTGGTTATATCGGCTCTACCCATGGAAAAAATCAGCTCAATATTGATAAAATAGTTTTCACGTTATTGACATACACCAAACATTCATATCATAATATTAGTTCCTTCCATCCAAATCATTGACTCGATCATAAATGTACTAGAATTATTAACATGGTAATCTGTTTCCTGGAAATTTCTTTGGGGGAAACAAACACAATACTTTTTTATAAACATTTTGGACAAAAATAAAGTCCATAAATTAAAAATATAAAATCGCCCTATTTGCACAATACCACAAATTATTTATTAAATTAAAAACATAATCATAACTTTAAACAATTTTAATTTAATTCAGTTAATTAGTGCTTATACCAGGAAAGTTGTAGGGTAGTTTTGATTTTGTCCATTGTGTATGTTTTTTGAGGTGCAGAGTCCAAATCTTAAGTTTGCTAACAAAAATTCCTGACGCAACATTGACAAAAATGTGGAAAATTGTATTTTTTTTGCAATTTTCGCCTTATAACTCAGGAACAATAAACTTTTTGTAAATAGTATATATTATTAAAATTAAAAGTACAAAAAATTTGCTACAAAATGTGCACCTTATGTGTTAATCTCCGATGAACCGTCAAGGCTCCAGAGCTATTTGAAAATTGGAGCATTTTGTGTTAATTTGAAAATTTCTTGTATTATTCTATCAATGTCATATATTAATTCTATATGCCCAGGTAAAGGTCCTATACAAATCCATATTGAAGTTGTTTAATTTTGTGTTACTGAATCGTTAATCTTTTATTTCCAGAATGGTTTTATGAACCTTGCCGTTTAAATTTTCCTGGCTCAGATGGTTGTATAGGACAGGCTCTGGCTCATGTTTTAATGCATCAGTTGTGAGCGTCCGAGCTTCAAAAAAGCAGATGAAAAAGCTCGGACGCTCACAACTGTTGCATCAAAACGTGTGCCAGAGCCTGTCCCATTAACTTACAACTCTGAGCCAGGATAATTTAAACGGCAACGGTTCATGTAACCATGACTTGGAAATCAAAAGTTAACGGTTCAGTAACACAAAAATTAAACAATTTCAACACTGCGGATTTGTATAAGACCTTTACTAGCACTCTTGATTGTAGTTGTTAAGATAAGTATAAGGTGTAAAATTATAGCAACCCGATTCCTAAAATCGTCCACAGGTTGGGAAACCCTGAACCATAGACTAACAAACACCTAATCTATGACTGAACTTAAGCTCTCACTGAGTTTTTTACGATGCTCGCAATTCAGTAGAACCGGATTATCTTGGATTTATTAAAAAAATAAGCAACTGTAAATCTAAAATTTTTGAAATAATATTCTTTAGCTGTTATATAAATACTAATTGGAATATAAGTGACTGAAAAGTTTGGCAAAGTTAAATTTTGTTTGCTTACAGTTACTTCCCGAGTGTATCCGATAAACTTTTGTCACATTACATCGTTGCTGTTTTTGGGATCATAATTCATCAGCGATGTTCTCTCTTTTCGTAAAGCAAATTAAATTAGAAGTTTGACAAAATGTTAACTTTTCAGGATAGAGAATATCCACAGTTTTGCCTTGATTATTATCGAAACATTGCACGGTGGAAGATCCTTATCATTGATAACAAAACTGCAACTATACAATAATCAATGCCCGTATCACAAAATAAATGTACACTAAAAATAACTAAGTATGCCGTAAATAAATAAATAAATGTTGTGTTCTGTTCTTAATCAACGATCATTTTCCGATCTCTAGAATATTCTGAGAAATAAAATAGTTATGAGTATTTGCTTACTCTATGAAATTGAGTTTTTCGTAAAGAACTTTCTTTTTCTTTTCTAATAATGTGTGAATTGTCAATTGTCGTCAATGTCATGTCAGATGTCATAGTGTATCGTATCGTCTATTGTCATATTTTGTAGTTTCCTTCGTACGTAACCTTACCATCCCAAAAACTTTGTTAAAAATACGTATTTAGATGAAGAAGTGTTAAGTGTTGATATCTTATTTGTATTGACCATACAAATAATACTATATAGGGCCTACGGTAGTAGAATTTCCCCTGAAGTGATGAATGTTTTTACGTTTATATTTTAGTCATCCGATGAAGGCTAGGCCTACCAGCCAACTACGAAGGCTTAACAGAAAAGACAATAATTTTTTAGACTATTGTGCTGTGCTAGTGAGTGGGTCTGGGTTCTAAACATAAACATGTACTAAACTTACTAGCAAGTGCCAACAACTTGTTGCATTTTGTGCTTGTGTTATGATTGAAAAGCCATATTCATTTACAATGTAACAGCCTAAATAATGCTGTTTCTTAAGTTTAATGACTAAGAACCAACTCCAAACCAGTGAAACATTACGTTGGTTAGTCTATGGTGAAACTGAAATCTAACTAACACAAATTTAGACTGTTAACTATCAAGGTCTTCAAAGTACTACCAATGCTCAGCTGGATATCTACCAAAGGGGAAAGCCAATATTGTAGTTAGGACAGAATTAGGCCTATTTCATTTTAAAATAATGTCCATTGTACCTCCAAGGGCAACACTGAGATGGAAAGAGTGGCTTCCTTTACTCACACAACAGGTTTGAAAATAATTGTTCTATCATTAGCGATAAGTTCCTATTTGTTTTTAATCTAGTACCGGTAGAGGTGATCATGATGTGTGCGTATGGTCTGGTAAATAGTTTTGTGATACTAGGCCTGGGCTATCATATATTATAGGTATCGAATTCGTTAACATCAGCCTTGAACAGAATGCTAGCCTATCCGTTTGGTCAGAAACTGTTCAAATCCTTCATGCCTGATAGAATCTGTTCTATCTGTTCATGGGTGACAGACAGAAGATATCCACTGCCCATTCTATTTTTTGCTGTTGAAGATTGGTGATGGAGATTTAAAAAAAAATATTTGTACCGTAGGTTTTTAAAAGTTAGACAAGATCTCATGAACGAAAAAACCGAAATTCCTGCAAATTCTCTTAGTACCTACATAGCTTTTGCTATTAATTGGTTAGCTTAGGTAATTTTAGCCTACAGTAGGCCCAACCAGCAGGTTTATGCTGCTGTTTTATATTAGCACCTCTTTCCTGTGATCTGTAGGATCACTGTAACTTAACCTTTATTCTTTCCTAAACACTTAGGCTATCTTAGGCCCTAGGCTTGAAGTTTTGATACGAACAACTTTCTAGAATACACATTACTATTTTTTTATTTATTGCCAACAGATTTTACTAACACCAATTTTACAAGTGAATTACCATAAGTTAAAAGTTACATATCAACTGTAACAGTGGCGGCGGTAAGAGCGGGCCAATGGGCCTCTCTGCAAGTTTGTTCGCCGGGCCCCCTCTCCCAAAAAAAAAAAAAAAAAAACATCACATGCATTTCCACCTAAACTTGCACTTAAGCTTGGCACGGCATCTCCCGAGGCGTCATCAATTTTGTGTGCGTGATCCTCACGGACTTAAAAACTGCAATAAGGATTTTATACTTACCCTAGTCCTATACGCCAATCCCGTATGAAGGACGGGTACTCTGCTAGTATGTTATGTTGTAAAAGGTATTTTCATCGACCCGGTAAATCCCGAGCAAGTAAGTTAACTATAATAACAGTGAAAGCAAAGTTGGAGGGAGTAAATTAAGATTTATTGTTTACATTTAAAATTTTTTAATGTTTGCTTTAATAGGCCTACTAAGGTAACATATCCGTTAGGGCCACATACAGTTCATAATAATCTACTTTTCACTGCCTACGCTTCTTCGATGCTTGTAATAGCAAAATATCCATGCCATTATCTAAATCATCGTATAAAATTATAGCAGCCGCTAGTAATCTCTCCCGTGAACTTATGTTACGCACCAACCATATGTATGGGCAGGCTAGGAAACCACTGACGGCGGTTGCATTTTGAGACCTGGATAAAAGCCACAGCGCATCTATTACGCGTCTAGGAAACCAAAGCCTTACTCTTCAGGTCTTTATGTTGAATGGCACTGGCAACAGTGTGGTCTCTTTGTACCATCCTTTCCTCCAAGTGTTAGTGGCTGTCAATGTAGTTTTGTTCAATTTAAAATATGCTACCATCTGAACCAAACCATTGTCAACTTCACCTAACTAAAGTTAGCCTACACTGATGTAGACTTAAGGAAGTAAGTTTATTCTTATACAGAGTGTTTCACAAAAATAAATGTTAGGCTAAGTTCACAAGCGTAATCGCCACTCATCCTACACTCATCTCCATTCATACTTGGCTTAAAATACCTACATTTGTATGGTCGCCATTTCAAAGAAAAGTATTAAAGTCAGGCTGGTCTGGCCAGGGCGGCTGGTCAGCGATCCCCAAGGGCCTCCGGCTCAAGGGGGCCTCCAAAAGCCAAAAAATCAATTCAAAAAAATTTAGTTATGATAGTAAAATATTTTGATTAACTGTTTCACAGCGACGTAGTCTTGCAAAAACAATTTTAAATAAACAATACTCTTTTTTTATTTGAATTACAGTTAGCCCCTAAGTACAGTGATAGTCACTCGGTACTAGAGGATAGTCACCGATCTCACTGCAACGCACCGTTACGAACCAATGCGGCTCAACCAACGAACCAGCTCAGTGCCCAGCGCTCCGCGGTAGTGATCGTAGTGAAAAACCGAGAGAATTCCACTTCAACAACAACTGGTGGAGTTCAATCGGTGCAGTGGTTTCAGTCATTGCAAAGAAAATTATCGAATATAATTTTACTTAAAACATCGGAGTTTTCCCGCTTGATTCCTATTGTTTGTTGTCATTTGCATTAATATTTTGTTACTTTGTTATAAAACGTACAGAATGACAATATTTACAATTAATTAAAATTGTTTAGTTTATTACATGACTGCAAGATTTAAATTATTCTGTAGGCCTAATGTCTCTAACTCAGTATAACAAATATTCCTGTTTATTTATTACCTGGTTTTTAAAACAGATTTTACTACAGGCATTAAAATCTAAATCATCAGTATATAAAACACAGTGTCTTGGCAATTTTATATTTTTTTAAACAACAAAAATAAATGCAATTACATTTTATGTATCATCCCTATAAACTGTTCCCAATTCCTATCCGTCAGTTTATCTACAACTGATTTTATTCGACCAGTCAGCCTCATCTCAACACCAAAAGTTCGAGTATGGTGTTACGACTAGTTTAATCACCGACGACTGTTTCCAGTCATTCCTACGTAGTGGGCTATGACGTATTGTTTGAAAGGTTACTAACGCAAGTAGTGGCGCAATCAAAATAAAAATGAATAGGAAATATTTCAAAATAAAAACAAATTAAAGTCAAACTGTTTGAACTTATGGTTAGCAGGTTAGCTGGTTTCAGTTCTGATTTTGCAACAATGAGAAGTCGCAAACAGGCAGGCGGAAATCATCAGAAGTTTTTTGTAATCCTTACAACGTTTAAATTAAAATACTTTTGATTATTTCTGTTTGTCTTTGTTGCTGAAGTACAACTATGGAGTAAAGTGTGTGATAAACAGTAAATATGGTCCATTCATAGATGTATTCAAAATTCAAAAGTGGTACGTGATATGCTTTTTTACTATGTATGGCAAAAACTCCAAGAACTAGGTTTTGGTCTTATTTTTAAATTGAAGACTTAAAACAATTTTAAGAATAGGCCTTTAAATTTGGCAGCTGTAGAGGTGAATAGAAATACGAGCAAATTTTATGTAAAATTTAAATTGATCGGTACATTGGAATTAAATTTATAAATACAAAGATTTTAATTTATGGAAATTTAGCAATTATTAATTTAATCAAAATTATCAAAAACGTTTAATCATTTAAAACCACCTTAGGCCTTTTTATGCACCTGCGACATGCAGCAAACATATATGCTAACTAATTGTTGCCGTGAGAGCACCCCATGGTCCTTGTTTTATTTCTGGCTGGGGGCCTAAATCAACATCTAGCCGAGGGCCTCCAATGGAGCCAGACCGGGCCTGATTAAAGTATAAAAGTATTGAAGTACCTATGAATAAAAATACCTTATTAATACAGAACTTAAAACAAATGCTTTTTTACTGAGGTAGTGATGGGGAAAGACTTCACAACGTTTATGGCCATCAATGGCAGGCCTACTTAGGATAACTAAAAACAATAATACTGGTAGCCTTGTAAGGTGCTATGGCGCGCCGGGGTCATGGCCTTCCTATCTGAGGCTCTCCCGTACTACGCTCCTCTACCGTATCGCCTTACAAATAAAATGCTCGGAATCGCTCGAGTCGAGCTGGGAACCTCCAAGGTCCTTCCGCTACTCAATTTTGAATCAAACGTCTTTATTGTCTGTTAAAGCTCAGAGTGACACCTCACCACAGGGGGTCAACGGTGTCATCACACTCATCATCGCTTTAATGATCACTTTTAAAACAATTGCCAACGCTGGGTTGTTCTCGCGTGTCTCGTACCAGGCTAATTCGCCGGTCTTAATCAAATTAACCGATGCAGTATGCTAAAATGTCACCCTAACTGCCAGGCTAACTCGCCGGTCTTTCTAAAGTAAAAATGATTAAATAAACTAAACTAAATTCCCTACTGGCCAGGCTAACTCGCCGGTCTTTCTAACATACAACAATTCAAATAAATAAAATAATTCCCTACTTGCCAGGCTAACTCGCCGGTCTTTCTAAAGTCAAATTAATTAAGTAAACTAAAATAATTCCCTACTGGCCAGGCTAACACGCCGGTCTTTCTAAAGTCAAATTAATTAAGTAAACTAAAATAATTCCCTACCGGCCAGGCTAACACGCCGGTCTTTCTAACCTACAACAATTTAATAAAATAAAATAAAATCCTACTTGCCAGGCTAACTCGCCGGTCTTTCTAAAGTAAAAATGATTAAATAAACTAAACTAATTCCCTACTGGCCAGGCTAACTCGCCGGTCTTTCTAACCTACAACAATTTAAATAAAATAAAATCCTACTTGTCAGGCTAACTCGCCGGTCTTTCTAAAGTAAAAATAATAAAATAAACTAAAATAATTCCCTACTGGCCAGGCTAACACGCCGGTCTTTCTAACCTACAACAATTTAAATAAAATAAAATAAAATCCTACTTGCTAGGCTAACTCACCGGTCTTCCTAACCTACAACAATTTAATAAAATAAAATAAAATCCTACTTGCCAGGCTAACTATCCGGTCTTTCTAAAGTAAAAATGATTAAATAAACTAAACTAATTCCCTACTGGCCAGGCTAACTCGCAGGTCTTTCTAACCTACAACAATTTAAATAAAATAAAATCCTACTTGCCAGGCTAACTCGCCGGTCTTTCTAAAGTAAAAATGATTAAATAAACTAAACTAATTCCCTACTGGCCATGGCCATGGCGCTGTTATCGAGGTTGACCCTTGTCCCCGAACCAGCTTGTTGTCCGCGCCTTTTGCTTACACTAACGGTTGTAAATATCAACTTAGAGCTGGTCAACATTTACAACCGTTACAGCCTACCTAGTTTTATCAGGCCTAGTTTTAATTTTTAGAACTGAATCTTAAGTAGTACAAAATAGCCTAAATGAGCTGTATAAGCCTACATACATTTAAGAATTATAATTGGTAACCTATCTTATTTTTCTTTGTTTCAGCAACGTCTTCGCAACCTAATACAAATAATTGGATTCAATGTCAATCCCTTTGAGAAATGCACTCATTTAGTAAGAGGAGTGGGTAAATTGAGCTACTATTACACATTACATTTGACAACAATGTCAGCTCCATTTTATACAAGTGAAAAACTTGAAAGTGATAATCCTAAATGGGCGGATATTGAGATCAGTCAGGCAATTGGTCCTGCCACAGGTGAGTTAGAAACTTCTGTACTGGTTAAACAAATTAGGATTTATAAAATATTTATTTCTCTACAATTATCCATCTCTATTCACTATTGTAAATTGTTTTTGTGTGTCTTATTTTGTTATCAATTAGGTCTTAGAATGACTCTCGCATGTTTGTGGAAAACTCCTTGCACCAACCTTGACTACGCAATTTCATTAATTTATTGCAGGCTTTTAAAATTTGACATAAACACATTTTTGAATATCATTTTTTGTAGCCAACACATAATAAGATTTGTGCTTTTACCCTCAAAACATATTTTGCAATCTCTTTCTTTAAAGCATTTTTTTACAGTAGGCCTAGAGCTTTTAAATACTGACAAGACAAGTGCCACTATGTTGAAGCTTATTAGGCCTATTAGCTTTGAAGAACATTAAGAAATACAGTAAAACTAAATTTAAATCCCATAGCTTCATATTCTTTTAAAAGTCATAAAATTTGTTTTTCATACTAAGCTATTTCACATTTTACTGATACATACACTTTTATTACCTTCCATGTTGCAAAAAGTACTCGTAATCTAATTCTTTTTTAAAAAGGGAATAAATCTGAAACGTACCTAATATACAATCAAACAAATGGGAATTCGTTTAGCTGGCAGGTTTGCTGCTGTGGGGGTGAGCTCATTTATTGATGTGTTTGCCAGGGGTGGTGATCAGGCTGTGGTGCCACTCAGCGACTGGGGAGGAGAGTACGGAGCTGGTAGTGGCTGTATGGGGCATCTACTTCAGCGGCTTGGCGTACATCGGTCCAAGACTTGTCACCTCGGATCCGTCACAGTTCCACAGCAACACGCTCATATTGCACATGCAGGGTGGATACTTCACAGCACCTCACTGCTTCAAGGAGCCCAGAGTCGAGCCTCGACGCGTAGTCTCAGTGCTCATGACCCCCGTAGAGTTACGTCAGAGCTACTCCGTCAGCCGACTGTTGAGGTGAAGAGAATTTAGTAATCAAAGTAGTATTGTCGAGATTCACTCAACCTTGGGGAAAATGTTGTATTTTTATATAGTGTTTTTTGTCTTGGTTGGTCAATTATTAATTTTTATGATTTTTATTACTGGAATTTCACAGGTGTTTATGTAGGCTATTGCGCGGTAGAGGAGAAAAGTTGCTAACATGAAACAACTGTTCACATGAAGCCTCATTTCGTAAGATAGTGAAGATTTAAAAATGTATAGTAACATCTAAATATTTTTGAATAATGATAATAATAATTAATAAAAAATATTAGTAATTGCGTGTTTTCCGTATGGGTTTTTGTGCACAGTTGTCCCTCGATTATCTGACAGATATGGGGCTGGGAGGAAGTTGGATTACCGAAATGGTGGTTTTGTTGATAATTCATTTGATTAAGATGAAATATAACTAAACTAGGTTGTATTTGGGAGAGTATAAAACACTATGTTTTGAAGTTGACGAAACTAAGCACTGCACAGTATGTGTAAGCCAAATTTCATTTGATTAAGATAAAATATAACTAAACTAGGTTGTATTTGCGACAGTATAAAAACACTATGTTTTGAAGTTGACAAAACTAAGCACTGCACAGTATGTGTAAGCCCAATTTCATTTGATTAAGGTGAAATATAACTAAACTAGGTTGTATTTGCGACAGTATAAAAACACTATGTTTTGAAGTTGACGAAACTAAGCACTGCACAGTATGTGTAAGCCCAATTTCATTTGATTAAGATAAAATATAACTAAACTAGGTTGTATTTGCGACAGTATAAAAACACTATGTTTTGAAGTTGACGAAACTAAGCACTGCACAGTATGTGTAAGCCCAATTTCATTTGATTAAGGTGAAATATAACTAAACTAGGTTGTATTTGCGACAGTATAAAAACACTATGTTTTGAAGTTGACAAAACTAAGCACTGCACAGTATGTGTAAGCCCAATTTCATTTGATTAAGATGAAATATAACTAAACTAGGTTGTATTTGCGACAGTATAAAAACACTATGTTTTGAAGTTGACAAAACTAAGCACTAAGCAGTATGTGTAGGCCCAATTTATCAAAACTAGCCACACAATGACAGTACATACAGAATCCTATAGTGCAGAGAGAGTTGTATTTATGTCACCATGGATTTGTTTTGCTCCTGCCGATTAAGACTGCCTGCTACTACATCTAACTAGTACATCTAAGCCCCTGGACTAAGCTAGGTACTGTAAGCTGGGCATTTTTCCAAGGCAGTCCATATAAGAAATGTTTTTTTTTTAATTGCCTGTTAAATGTGTGTTCAGGCTGCATTCACTCCAGCAAGCTATCAAGCAACATTCAGTTGCAGCTGCTTCTCTTAGAGAGAGGATCTCGGACGGAAGTTTGAGTGGGAGTAGCAGTGAAGGAAAGGTACTGTAGCCTAAATAATTCCTTTTCTTATTCACTCTTCACTACTTTTGCAGTAACTATTCTATTGTAATGCCAATAACCACTACAGTATTAGAATACTGTTCTTGCAATTCCTATGCAATATAATATGATTGAGGTTTGGATGCTTACTTCACTGTTTTAATGACCTATTTTTTAAATAAATTAGGCATGCATAAAAATAGTGTCTTAGCAGATCTAACATTTTAAGAGAGAACATATGTTTTGTTGAACCAACATATAAAAATCCATTAAACCACCTAAAATAAAAGTAAATGTTAAAAACAATAATAGCTTACATATTTTTTTACACCCTTAGAGCAAGGCCCCACTAGAAAAAAACAGGCCATGCTGCAGAATTCATGACGTCACATTAGTGGATGGATTCACTCTCATATCCCATATGTTTTAGGTAAATAAGCTGGCTGTTTGACAGATTTTGACGGTACGCGTCGTCTGTAGGCTTCAAAAGCACAATAAACATTGCGTGTAGGTTATGTTTACGCCGTATCGCTCTTTTACCTATAATTGGAACACTGATGTTGCAATTAGTTCTTCGCATTAGGCTTAGAGTAGTTTGAAAAATATATAAATATACTAAAATGGTGTAATGAGTTATCCACCTAATTCTGATAAATCATCTCTCCTTAAAAATACAGAATTAGTGTACTAAATGTAGGTAAATGAATTTAAACAGTGATAAGATTTTAAATATTTTATTAAACACATGTAGGTAGGTTTACGATCTTATTGTGTTAATTTGTCAAGCTTTCGTTTTTTGTTTGACTTTTTTACTGATAACTTTTCTCTAGAACATTTACAATAGTTATTCAAAAGAATATTACAAAAAATGGTAATACATTTGTTCATAAGTGGAAAATTGCAAAAAGCACACACCGTCGTTATGTTATTTAAAAAGAATAAATCAACTGCATCTGAAATTAAATGTACTAAAAGTTTTCGTTGACATTTTGAACTTACGAAGGCATATTCATACCTTTCACTTATAATCATCTTAAACAATTTCAAACCTACAGCTAAAATGTTCACAATATCATCTGATGGGTACTTAAGGCTACCTCTGTCAACGATTCTCAAATATTCATTATTGATATTTGAAACGATTGTGTCTTTATTCCTGTTTAGTAATGTTACTTCACATATTTTACATTTGTTCACTTTTAACAGTTTATAGCACACATATCCACCAATATAGGTGAGACACACTTAATCGTTGTCACTAACGTCCATAAATCTAATGTCTTCATAAATATCTTCAAATTCAGAATATTCGTTGCAATCGATTTCTTCCATTTCTGGATTAGAATTTATGCTATCAATATTTATATGCAGGTCTGAAATTTTGATTTCTTTTTTAGAGGCCGAAAACAACTCAATAATACTAACGGTTTTAAGTTTTTTTTCTGAATCTAAGATTTGTTGAACGGTAACATTGTAGCAACCTCCACTCATCTGTCTATATTGGCCAAATCTTTCTTCTAGGGGATCATTCTGAAATTTACTTAATAGTATGTAGTCCACACTCCAGTCTTTCTTCAGATATTCAATAATCTCTATTATAGTGGAAGTTGTATGTTGTAGAGCTAGTTGTGTCTCCGCAGTCAGCTTCCCATTTCTTTTACTTTTTTTATGATTTCTTTCACCCTGTATTTTAAATTCATTCCACTTACTAAGCCACAAAACAAACCGCCGAAGAAATAGAAAGTTTTCATCATTTAGAGTTCTTATGGGCTGACAAAAAGGATCATTAAAACGATCACCCTTAAACACATGAGAAACGTTCATAATTTTCCACCATTTAATAACTAGTTCTAAGAATAATATAGTACCCTCGTTATTTACATTATATTTAGATTTAACATACTTTAACGCTGCAACATTTTTCTCGTCAAAAAACTTCACACATAGGTCTACTTTTTGTCGTTCAACGGATGTAGGATGCAGCACTTTTTTATTTAAAGCAGGGGCTAGCTTTATTACACTATTTTCTTCTTCTTTGTGAAGTGATTTGAGGTCAGATACACTTGCAGTACACATTTCGTCAAAGTTTTCAAATTTAGGAAATATAAATGTTTGCTTACAATCCGTTTGATTTAACCAATTATTTCTAATCGATTTGAATAGATGCACAGAATCAAAAAGAAGAAACACTTTTTGTTTGCCTGTGTTATCATAAGGATTGATAAAACTTGCCATTAATGTTCCACCATTTAGTTTAGCAAAAGCATTACGATTTAATGAGTTGTTATCTGTTATTATGCTTAAAACTTTGTATCCTATAGTGGTTAGCATTTTTAATATTTGCAAAATTAATTTATGCAAATATTTTCCATCAAGGTCCTTACATGGGAATAAACCTACTACATCTTTTGTTCTAGAAAATAAACTAGTGATCATAAATGTTTGTATAGTTGTCGCTAGCTGTACAGATGAATCCCTTTCTTTGGATGACTCGTGTACTACCCCTTCTAATTTACCACCCTGATAACTGAGTTCGGGTCTAACGTAAACTTCATCAGCAAGGAGGTTAACTATTTTTTCGTGATCCTCCAAATATTTGAATTTAGTTTTCAAATAGTTAACATGAGCAGGATCAAAAGTCGAACACCCGTTTCCAACATTTGATGTAAACGTTTTTAGGTATCTTGGATGAGGCATAGTTAACAAATTAGACTTCCTTATACTTTTGTATGCAGCTGGGAAACAAAAGAAAATAGTTGCAAACCATATTAGAGTTCTAGCACAATACCTAATTTGTTTTTGGAAAACTAGATTTATTTGTTCTTTATAAAAAGTAAGTTTTCTCGAAACTACTTCATCATTACTTGATTCACTTAGTTCATCCATAATTTCATTTATATGCTGTAGTTTGTCGGTTGTAGTAATTATTACAGAAGAGTCTTTTTCAAACAACCACTCACATAAGGCATCAAGTTCAGAAATACGACTAATTTTGTTTGGTTCAGAAAAGATTACAGGACAAGTGTTGGTGATATTGTTAATTACAAAGTCGTTTTTAGTTACAACAAACGACAAGTCTTTCTTTATTACTAGGGAAACCTCAATCTTTGGAACATGTACATTGATATATTTTACATTAAATACATTGATAAAATCGTCAAAAATATTGCACTTAACGTTTTTTACAATAGGGACGCAATTACTTTTCAAATATGTTTTTAAACTTATGAAGCTTTCGATAATGTCCTTTGACTGCTCTTCTTCCTGTTGGCTTAAAACACTTTGTCCCCCTTCAATTACCCACTGTGTTGGAGTTTGTGTAGGTAAGTGTAATGTTTCTGACATGTAAATTGGCTCATTGTACAATATTGACGGTACTGCATCTTCTGTGAGCTTTACACGGTTTCGAGGAACACACAATACCGTCCCGTCAGGCCGAACCACAGAGTCTTCTTTTACAATGAACCTTTCGTCGAAGTGTTTAATACACACTCTTGAACTCGAACTTGGTTTAAAATCACTACGGTGTATTGCACTTGTCCAGGCATTTGCTTTAGTTTGGTCTTTTGGGAATGAAAAAATGGGCACTGGCACATTTTCTCTGTCCTTGTAGTAATTGCTCCGACAACCTGGGACGCAACAACAGTACGGCATGTTTTATTTTTTACTATACACAATATTTCATCGTACCAAAAAAACTGAGTAGCGCAAGACACAACGACATCACCAAAATACTAACGAAACATTCCACAGGTTATATTTGTTTAATACATGTTTACAATTTTATATTTACATCTGGCAACTTAAGTACAGCTATCCACCACTGTGACGTAGCGTTGCACTGCCCGCGCTGCAGCATGGCCTGTTTTTTCTAGTGGGGCCTTGCTTAGAGTCAAACAAAAGGGGAAGTTCTACACCTTGAGCTTGTTAAATACTAATTGCTTACTATTTCTGTTTGCAGACAAATGGAAAAACATGTTGACTGGTAACAGAAAGAAATGCATTGAAACATTACAAAGAGTAGATGGACTGTCATTAGGCCTACTAGTTTTATTATGTAAAACATTTTTAAATAATTAAATAGGTATAATATTCAAACAAAATTGTTTACAGTTATATCAGAATGTGAGTATGTCAGCAGGCATTGGTACAATGGTTTACACAGTTTTTCTTGAGGAAGAACATTTTTAGGGTCAAAATATACATTATCAGAAGTAAAGCCTAATCTTCAAGCACTGTATATATTTACTGCATAAACTTTCTATTGACCTTGTCAAAATGTTTTTCTATCACATCTTCATTTAGGCTCATTAAACTGTGTGTGTGTAGGAGAGCGCCATGCTGCGTCGGGTGTTACATCGTGCCAAGCCTACAGGTGCAACACCACGACTCCATCAACAGCTGACAGCTGTGAAACGAGAAGTGGAGGAGGTGAGGTTCAGAGTACATCTGCTGACTCATGAGAGGGATAAGAAGAAGTCAGCCTTGCGCAGGCAGCTGGAGGACAAGAGTAAACTTACCGATCGAATGTTGGACGAAGGTGAGGCTTGGACGTCTGGTCAAAAAGTCATAAAGATTCTAACTTACCAAGATAGGGTATTGTAAACACAAGTGTCATGTAATTCTTCTTTGGTTATGTTGAAACTTTGACTTTAGGTTACTGAAGTAGACATCCCATCTATAAGGCATATGCGGGATGGACCAGCTGTAGCCTATTTTTATCCAAAAAGAATTTTGTGGAATGACATACGCACAGAGTGTGATACAGTCTTGCATTCTTTTTTCTCCAGGTTACGACGTTTTTGTCAAGATAGCTTTAGGCCAGGGTTTTAAGGATTTTGTAATTGATAAGCTTACCTTACTGATGAAAATAGTTGAAAACCACAAATAAACACATAAATACAGAATTTTCAGAGCTATTATATCGGTAGTAAAGTCAGGTTCTTTAGGTTGTAAAAGATACATAGAAAGACTCTACTACTAGTTTTTATTACTAAGATAGTTGATGTTGCAAAAACGATGTTAGGCCTATAGCTTACAAAAAGTCCATCAGGTTAAGTTGGTGTATTCAACAGAAATCAGTAATTTAGATTAGCAAATTCTGTCGGTGGCTCAATTAAACTATGTCAATTTTGACTCTGAAATTGGCAACAACTTTAACAACTTCAGAAGCTGGAATGTCCATTTTTATGAATATTAGTCAAAGGTTTTGCTAAAATTGCCAAGCAAGGACACAATACTTGTTTTAACTGACACTTTTTGGAGGTTTCGCAAGCCACCTAGTGGAACGATTAGGTTTGTAGCTTAAGAAGGTTGATTAAAACATAGGTAGCTTACAAGAAGATTTCAGATTTAGAATTGATATAAAATAATTAATAATTTTTTGTAAATTTTAAGTGCCGATTATTATTTGTTAATATGTTTTCTATTTAATAATCATCATGGTTATGAATTATATTATTCTCTACCTTAAAAGACCTTGAACATATTCATTGCTCTATTCTGATAACAAAAAAATAAATAAATAGGGTTGAAAATATGTCTATATTGAGTACCTAAGTTAACATATAGCAATCAGTAATCATCTTTAACCTTCCGTCGGGCGCATTGATTTTCAAACACCAAAGGGCGCTCACGGATGTTACCTCCGGGAGTACAAAAACTATACAATGATGAGTAAAAACATTTTAATAGCAATAAAACTCTATGAAAAACATTTATTATGAGTTATTACACTATTACTTAAGTTAGTTAGGTATTACAAAGAAAATGTTATAAAAAAATAAAAATACGTAAGTGTTGTGGATAAAAATGATTAACTTTTTGTACTTATACAGTCGTATATTAGAAAACAAATTTTAATATTCTATGGCATAAAAACACGTAAATGGTCTAATAAAAATAATAATTTTGTACAAGGACAATCCATTCAATTAAAGCTCTTAGACAAAAATTGCATCAGTGTATGGCATAAATACACCAATGATATTATGAAAAAGATTATTATATCAAGGATAACTTACTTTATCCAAGCTTTTAAGAAAAAATTGCAATGGTGTTTGAAATAAAACACCTATTGTCTAATGCAAAAAATCATTTGTTAGAAGACTACTCATTTTGTCAAAGCTCTTTTTCTTGAAAAAAAAAGGTTTCCGAACTCATGCACCATTAGTTCTTTCTACTAAATGTTGTTCCTTGTCTTCCCTTTCAACACTAGCCAACAATCTCACAATTAGTTCTGCATACATTTTGTAATATCGCTAATAAGGTCAAACACAAGGGGGCACATGGAACTAGGCTCCGGGAAACCTGTAGCATCACAGGGCGCTCACGGAAGCTACTTCCAGTAGCGATGCGAACCACCCCCCCAAGGTCGACTGACAACTGGGAAAGGGGTAAGAGAATATAAAACCGATTCCGCAAAAGAGGTTTGTGAGGTAAATCAGGCCACAGCCCTGCACACACACTATGGTTTTTATAACGTAAAAAAACGGAGGTACCCGGAGGTAACTTCCGTGATGCGCCCGATGGAAGGTTAACTAATATTATTTATTTCAGATTTAGAATTGGTGGAAAAGAATCGGATGCTTCACAAAGAAATGGAACGTCTGAAAGATCTTAAACGTGTTTCTATAGATGCCAAAGAAAATCTGTTTTCTGTCAACCAAATGCTGTTAGCTCTGAGACGAAAGCGCATTTCAGAGTTAAATTATATATACCCCATCAGTCAGGTAAGAAAAAGCTAACATGTAAATGAAATTTAAAATCTTTTTTTCTTACACTAACCTGGCTTTATTCATTGTAATAGTTTTTGATTGTTTTTACAACATTTAAATATTTTTCTGTAAATTATATATATATTTTAAAATTAGTTTTAAAATACTTTACTAATAAGTTTAACTCGTATAATATTTTATAGTATTATTTATTAAAGTTACAACAGTCATAGAATTAAGTAGTGTTACTTACCTGCACCTAAATTGAATAGTTAATGTATATTATTTGCAGTAAGATGAAGTGTTTTAAGTCGAGAATATTACAAAATTCTGTTCCATTAGTTCTTACCCCAGATCGGGAAAAATAATTCTGTTCTGTGTTTTTAGTTTTTTCCGAGTTTATTGATTTTAAAAAATCTGAGCGACTTTTTCAACATATTAAGGGTTTTGTGAGAAAGTTTTGCATATAAATAAGCCAATAATAATAAAAGACTGGACCCAGTAAATTTCAAATCAATAGAATAGTTTTCATCATCCATTCAAAAATATGTGTGTAACAATTTGTAGTTTAGATTATGATATGAAAAAAATAATTTAGTGCTTGTATATTGTACTTTTATCAGTCAAACAGCCAGATTTGGATGTATTCATTGCAAAGCTAATTAATACTCAATGTAACACTAAGCCTCTTGTTGATCTAATTTGATGTTTTTTTTCAGATTGGAGATGACAAGTTTGCCATCTGTGGAGTCCATCTGCCCAACTCAGAAGATTTTGCTGGACATGATGAGATTATGATCTCAGTAGCGCTGGGTTTTGTCGCTCACCTGGTCCAGATGATTGCGTATTTCTTGCACGTTCCTCTCCGTTACTCCATTGTCCATGCAGGCTCTCGCAGTAAGATCATCGACCATATCACTGACAAGATACCTGATAAGGAGAGAGAGTGAGTACCATTTTATCTCTTCATATCATTCTATAGAATGCCCACAAACTCAGCCGAAACAATAGGCTCTTCTATCAAGTTAGTGAAGGTTGAAATTCCAAGGTAGTTTTATTCCACCAAAGTTTTTGTTCATTCACTTGGGTAGGGAGTTGAATTTATGGTGTGTAAAATGAGGTTTGGAAATTGAAATTACAAATCCAAACACTTCAAAGAGAGACTGTATTGTCTTTGTGGCTATTCATGACCCCTTAAGCTATAATTGATTACCTTGAAGAAGTGCTTGATTTTTAGGATTCAAGACACTGGAAGTAAAACATACTGAATGCTTTAAACTTTAAATCCCTATTTTACATCCTATTTTATTCACTTTATTCTCTTTTTTTAATAGTTCAACACATTTTTGTGCAGAAAGAGGCTATGGAACTAAGTTTGAATTCCCACCAAATCAAGGCAAAAAGTCCTACATTTTTTGTATCAAATTCATGGTTATTTTTTAGATGAAGACACTTGTTCTTTTTGTGGGCTACAACAATATGCCTCCAGGCTCTTATAGATCCAATATTAATGAAATGAAGTTGTGTTTTTAGATCAAATCAGGCTGTAATTAAATACTGAATAAACACTATAATAACTTTGACTATTATACCTGAATATTCATAGCCTCATTCTTTACAATAATTTTACCCTGCGGCAATCTCTTGCAACAATATGTGAAACATTAAAAGCATGAATTTAACCTATTATCAGCAATATAACATTGTACAGACGTCCGTTTACAGTGTTGAATTTGTTTCCAGATTTCCTCTATTCTCTAAGGGCAAGGATAAGCTTCAGTTCAACTACGGAGTGTATTTGCTCAACAAGAACATCGCACAGTTGAGATGGTATTGTAGCCTCACCACGTCAGATCTCAGGTGTACACTGCCTAACTTGCTGGCTCTGCTGAACCTCAAGCCCAGCCTCAGCGGGTGAGTTGGGTTTACGTTAAAGTCAAACACTGTCCGCCAATTATTGAAGAAACAGGAGGTTTATGATGTTTTGGGATTTGGAATCTAAATAATTAGTCTATTAACAGCAAATTTTGAGTTGTTCTTTGTATGAACAGTCCTATAAATCATCTCTTATTGTTTAAATTGTTGACTTAATTCAGGATATCTAGGAAACCATATTTGACAACATATATCCTGTTTCTTGTGCCAGTTTGGACTCTTTCCCATTCAGGTAATTATGCTATCTTTAAAAAAAATCCTAAAAACTTAGGCCCTTGTGCTCTATGTTACACCCTTAGTAGTTAATTGATTATTTTAATTCAGGCATGCAAGCTAAATAGGCATCCTGCTGTAGGAAACTAGTAGATTTGACTTGTATGTGTTAAAAGTTTGGTCACTCTAAGTCTAATGATATATAAAAAAAGATGCACAAAGATTGACACTAAACAGCATACAGGAATGACAGTGGTGACTGGTGATGATGTTACAGGGCTGGACTGGAGGCAGGCAAGCGTACAATGTCCAGCTCTACACTTGAGCTGCAGGGTGTGAGAGGCTTGCGGCCGCCTCAGGCTCCTCTCTGCTACTCCCTAGACAAGGGCTTGGACCGGCTGGACCACGGCAGTCCACGCCTAGTGCCTCGGCAACGGAGCATCACACACAACAGCTCCGAGCCCAACGAGATCTTGGTAGGTCCTTGACAAGTGATGCTCAGACAGGATTAATAATCAGCCAATTGATTGAATAATTGTTGATTCCAGTTGGAAATCTGGGGATAAACTGCAACTTTGTGACTCTTAATCAATTTAATACTTAGGATTATGGCCTTTATCATTGTAATCATTGAAGTAATTTCTTATTAGTAAATACAGATAAAAAAAAAACAATCTTTAAAGTGTCTGAGAAGTAGTTTATTCATATTTTGAAAAAGCGATTTTCATAGTTTTACAATTTAACTTACTATGTAAACAAATCTCACTAATCCAACGTTAGCTGACAAATTCTGTAACCAAGGAGTGGCTGTAATACATAGGACATGAGAGATTATTTTGCAATGCAACGTCTAGATAATTCAAAAATATAAAGTGTATATAAAAATATATTAATTTGGTCATCTCTATGTCTAAGAAAATGTTATAGTGCAATCTGTTTTATTGTTGTTTATGGATTAATTTTGACTACAGTAATGAGAATGTGGATTTTTCAATACATGTTGTCTGCAGTGCCAAAGTAGCATTCAAGATGTTGCATGCATGTTTTGGCAAGAATGTTTTTGTGTGCGAATACAAACACTTGTAAAACCTTGATTGTTACCTTTGAAACTGTAGACAGGTATCTTAAATCAGAATTAGTTACTACGAATATCCACTTCCAGGGCTGTTACAATTCAATAAATATAAAATGTAGTAATTTTCATACGATTTATCTATAACTATGGTTATTTCTATCTCCAATAATCCGGCAGGTACCATTTTATCGTCAAGTTCATGGAGTACTCTAAGGGAGTTCAGTGACTCGATATTGGGTAAAATAAATAAACATAATTTATTTTTGTAAAAAAATACAACCGACTTCAAACGCTCTAAAAAGAATGAAATAATTTAAATAAAGTTAACTTTTGTATTAGGCAAGCTCACGTATTTCAATTCGGCGCGGCTCTATGATGATTTTTGATACAAAATTGAAAGAGGGTGTCCATATTGCAGGTGACTATCTATAACTAAAGGTGTTAATCTGCATGTCTTTTTCATAGTTATGCGTTAAGTGTTATTTTATTACCTTAATCAGAGATCGGCATTATAGTGGTATTAACGAGTATCTTTAAAAAGATTATAACGCATTTAAATGTTTCTAACTTGGAAATGTAACGTTTTAATACTAAACTAGCTTCTTTTCCCTATCATAATATCAAACTAAATTATTTTCCTATTCATATAGAACATTTGTGTGTGTTATTTTCATAATGCATTTATTCTGAAGTAAACATAAAATACAAGAAAATATTTCCTTTAATATATAAACAAAACAGTTCAGTATGTTTTTTATATATTTATGTTATCCAGCTACAATTTATTGATTTTCAAAATACACACACAATATTTAATTTCAATCATATTTGCAGTTTGAACCGCGCCGACTTGAAATACGTGAGCTTGCCTAATACAAAAGTTAACTTTATTTAAATTATTTCATTCTTTTTAGAGCGTTTGAAGTCGGTTGTATTTTTTTACAAAAATAAATTATTTTATGATTTTTAGTGACCGTATAGTTTTTATGTACCGGTATTAATTACTTGAGGTTTTTTGATAAGCAAAACTGTTTGAAACAATCAAACGTTCCACAGAACAATCATTATTTTAAAACTGCTTGAGTCACCTGTTCAGGTTACATAATCAATGGGTATGAAAATAAACATATTTAGATATTAAGAAAGAAAGAGTTGTCCATTACATTAGGCCTAATGAAAAACTAATTGTCTTTTCTAGATACATTGAAATGTCAGACATCATCGTTTCTTTGCAATCGGTGTACTTCTACATTATAAAAAGAAATACAGTAACGTCTCAAGCCTTTTGGAACAAAATAAAGTTATTCCTCAGCTACCAGCACTAAAAAATCTCTCAAAAGTGGAAAATTGGTCGTTAACACCATAGAACCTTTCGTATAGTACCTTTGGAAAATATTATATGAAAGATTGGTTCAGCTAAAAGTGGTGTAAGTCATGTAGGGGGTTTTGTTTGCTCAAGATATAGCCTAGTTGAAATTGCAAATCATCTTCCTCTAGGACTTTCCGAAGCAGGCATAAAATAGTATTGATATGTTATAGTAACTGGGTAGAGAATATCAATAAACATTCCACATCTGCAAATGCATGTTTAGTAATTAAAATATTCAACACTTTTAAGACAATTGACGATTATGCACTGTCACACTTCTTAGGTCGTGTAAGGAATAATTGCATTTGATTTATATTTATACCTGTTTTACGAATGCTGTGGTTTTCACAATACACCTTTATTTGTCATTATCATACAGCTATTCACTGAAAAATGTATGTTTTTGTTAGTCAGAATATTCAATACTAAAAACATAATTACTGTATACACAAATCAGGTCAAACGTTAAAATACATTTTTTATAGTAACCAAAACAAAATGCATTTTTCTCAATGTAATTAATTTAGGCTTCATGGCAAGAAATAGTTTATTGATCAATATGAAGCAACTGTTTCATGAAGAAATTGTCTGTGTCTTTTAAATGGTTTCAACTAACAGCTGTAGGAATGTTATTATTATTTATTGCCTTCTCTGCACAAATGTAAACAATGTGCACAAATGTAAACAAAATGAATGTTGAATATTTAAGGTTTTCAGAATTTTTCACCGAAACAAATATTATACTTAAACATAATATATAAGGTACCAAATAGAAACTCTCCTGGTTATTTTGGTGGTGGAACCACACTGATCGGTAAGAGAATCACAGAGAAATTGGTGAACATACATAGAAAAAAAAAACATCGCCACAGACAAATTGAGAACCTCCTCCTTTTGTTGGTAGTGGGGAAGTCGGTTAAAAATAAATAACTGTAATTAATTTTCAGGTACCGCACAGTTCAGAAGACGATGGACAGCGAGAGTTCCTCAACTCCTGGATGGCGCAGGGCCCGGCGCCGATATGCTCTGACTCTGAGCGCAGCTTGCGTTCCAGCAATGACATCCTGCTGCAGGAGGAGAGTCTGGCAAGCATCATCAACAAGATCAACTCTCCTTCCAAGTATCCGACAAACATATCCAGAGACTCCACGGATGCCTTCACTTACCAGAGTATCCGACAGGTTACGTCCCAAAGTACATACGCAGATTCATAGCACTTGAAAAGGCACTAGGCCAAATTCGTTGTAACAGTGTTGGGATGGATTGACATTTTTGTGTACAATTGAAAGGTTTGATTTAACAATTAGAAAAGTACAAGGTCTCGTTTCAGATGTCCTTTTCACTGTGCTTTGTTCACAAAATAAGTGGCGGAACATTTTAGGCTCAGCTTATAAAAATATTTTTATGTCAAAATGATTTATGCTCATAATTAGAACACAATGTCCGCAGAAAATTACAGTAAATTTGTTTATGTTCTTTTTTTCAATTTTTTTTAAAATTTCTTGTGAAAAATCCACACTGTTTAAAAACTGTGCCTTTTCAAGGAACCAATATTTTGACTGATGTATTATACTTTCCACTGTGTATTATATAATTTATGTATATTTAGATGATGATTATTGTGTACTATATTTTTGTGAATGCCCGTTAGTTTATCTCTGTGGGCTCCCCAAGATTATTCTTATTCCAGGTGGCTGTGCATTTTAGGTTTAATATACCATAGTTTAGTGCAATGATTTAATTAATGTTTTTTCACAATTGCATCGATGCCAATGACCTTGTAACACTGATTCTTTAATTTGCTTAACACGTTCAAAGTAATCTTGTTTAAAATGTCTATCCACAGAAAATTTGTTCCACAGTATTAAAATGCGACATTTGCTTTGCCAAGCTTTGAATACAATGTGCCCCACACTTTTATGTCATTTATATAGAAAATCCACTTAACATAATTGGTAAGCATTTGTAAACTGTAGACTCATAGTAGTTTTTTTACACTTCACCCTTTAAAGTCCCAAAACAGAGAACCTAATCTTAGTTAATTATTTAACATTATTTTATGATATGAGGGCAATCAAGAAAGCAAGGAAGATTTTGGAATAAAAGAAAAAGTTTGTACAGAAAAATAATTATAATGCCTACATTTGAAAGAGCAACTAAAATACTACTTTTCTAAATAGGCACTTATCATAGCGGTGGATGAGCATTGAAATTTCATTGTCGTAGAATTCCGCTGCCTGCGAGCTGAACCACTTAGTGAAATGCAACTGGAGCTACTTGTCATTAACAAAGTGCTGTGCTGCTTACCAAGTCAATTCTGGGAAATAAACTGAACTGTAGGGTAGTTGCTAATTGAATGATTACAGATTTTGTGTGCAATTGGAATTGGCCTCATGAGGTCAGGCATTGTAATGCAAAAACTAAATGTTGGACATCAACTTCAGTATAGCCGTTTTGAAACTGAAAGCACTATATCTTTTCATTTATCAAGTTGTTTCCGTACAACTCCGCAGACTCGACAATAAAAAAGTGTATAGGTTTTAAGGTTATGACTGCACCTCACAACTAGTGAGATTTTCAATTGCTGCAAACTTTTAACACAGTAATATTGCAACAAAGTGTAACACAAAGACATTTTCACAGTCATTGAGGAGGTGAAAACGTCTGTACTCTGTTCAGAGTAAATGTTCCTTACTTTCTGAATAGCCCTCATACATGAGACATAGTTAAGATTTTAACTGGATATCTTTTCAGCTTTTAGGTTTGATTCAATTTGGTACTGTGTTTGAAGCAATTTGGCAACTACCTTTAAGCTGCAAAATTGTACAGTAGAACCTCTTTAATCCGAACTAATTGGGACCAGGGGTAGTTCGGACTATTGAATAGTTCGGATTACAGAACATATTGTTGTTTTTACATAACAATAGCTAAAACATGGCTAAAATTGATCAAAATTATTTTGGGAATAGTGAAAAAAGGTTTTATAAAATAAAATACAGTGTTTATTTAATACAGTAGTTAACATAGTGAATAAACACTACTGTAAATTAAATACAGTATACAATAAAGAACTGCTGTACTGTGTATAGAGTACAGCAATGAGGGGTTCGGATTAGTGGACGTTCGGATTACGGGGGTTCGGATTAAAGAGGTTCTACTGTATTGATTTAGAGTTGATTTGTTAAAAAATGGAGGTGTTACTTTTGCCTTTTACCATTAGATAGGCATAACAACACATCATTTCACCTGATTATTAATATTCTTACCAGCCATTGCTTTTAATATTTGGGCTATCCATTTAGCCAAAAATAGTTACTGTATGTCCAAAAATAGCCACTTAAATAAAATCTACCACAAATAAAAAAATTAATCAAGGTTAAACATGTTAAAATGTTTTATATTTGAACTAGTAATTAAAAAAACAAACTGGTAATGTTTGAGAGGATTATGGAGAGTTGTATTTAAAATAAATAAATTACCAATGTGGTCACATAAATAAACAAAAATACATTTCCTTGAAGATTATTAGACAGTAAATAATAATCTCAAACAGCTTCATAATTAAAAATGGAACACAGACCGTAAAAACTGCAAAACATTATACATTTAGAACTATAAGTATAAGAACTATGTGAGCTTATTTAGTTACCGGCAGTAAAAAATTAATGGCTTGATGACATTCCTAACTTCCTAAACCTAAAACCTTCCTATACTATATCTAGGTTCGTGGTATTGTAATGTTAAAAAAAATGATGAAATATGGTTTTGTATAACAACTTAATTCCACAAATCTCATTTTTAGTTTGGTTTTGTAAAACTGGAGACTGGCTAAAGTATTGTAATTTAAACTTTAAAAGAATATTTATTTGATTGTTAAATTAATAGGTATTTTTTACTCATATGTAGTTCACTTAAATCTAGTCAAAGACTTAACTATAAATATTCGTTAAGTAACTATCATCTTGTTTGATTGTACACTTATGCTATAAAATAATATTTATCAAAAGAACTATTTTCCAATTATTCACTGAAAACATATCTGAATCTTATTAAAGTTATTTTCTAACCAATTTGTTACCAAAACAATTTGATAAATTCAAACTTTGGTTCAATTCAAATGTTATTATTTCTTGGGCCTAAAGTAATTTGGGTTATTAAACTTATTCTTCTTGTTCATATAAATAATTGCAACTTTATTTAAGCTTTAACAGTCATTTCTACAAATTTTACATGAGGTAGTTTTTGTTATACGTATACCGTAGTAGCTTACTGAATTTGTTGCCTTTTTAGTGTTAATGCTATTTTTTGATTGATTTTTGTTGTTATTTTAGTAAATCAATTCATTTATTAAACACTATTAAAGGTATATAGTTTGAATGTTTTTGGGATTGTTTGTCTGTAACTATTTTCATTCATATATTTACACATATTAGTAATTTCCTTTGTTAATCATTTTAAAGTGTTGATTGTTTATATTTTTTGCTCTACTGGTTCAGATAAAGTTATCTGTGATATATTGTTAACTTTGTATAACTAATTGTTCCTTTGAATAAAACCATATTACAAATTTATTTACTTATATTTGAACTAACCTCTCGTTTTTTGTGACACAACTATAAATATTTTTCAAACTAGAAAAGTATCATTGTTGATCCAGTGAAAGATTTTTAGTGAATATTAACTTTACTTCCAAACTGCATCAACCTCCGTCCTCAATGAATGATTCTCAATAAAAAAAAGAGCGATTTGGAAAAAAGACAATGTTGTAAGGCGTTTTCTTTTATATTGTAACAACAAGATAACCAATAATTAAATTCAAGAGCATACAAAAATATTATAGTTGAGGCAATGTTAGTTTTTTTTATTTAGGCCTAACTTTTACATTATTTTTTAAATCACAAAGTGTTTTCAACATGTCCTATTTCCTGTGAGGATGATTTTTATTGAAGTCTCGGATAGGTGGATCATAGCTGGAAAAAAACACATAGGATTTAGGAACTCTAAAATAAAATAAAAATCCCCCCACCACAAAAAATGGTTGAGCTTGGTGGGTGTGGCTTTTATTGACCTTGGTCTCTAATCTGTATTGGACCTATGATTCCGAATGATAATCTATATTAAGTGACTCTAAAGTAAACAGAGTGTTTTAGTAATCTAAACTTGCCTGTCAGATGTGTTGACATAGTGAGATGTGGATAGGACAGTGTTGGAGCCCTTTAGCCGCAGTCTAGTCTCGTAGGCTAGTCTAGCCTCCAACTCTTGGATGTAAAGCTCTTGTTTCTTTCTAGAAAAAGGATAGAAACACTATAAATATCAGTATTTCATGACTGGGACCTCTTGTCAGTATGATTGGTTTTAGTGATACCTTACACTACTAACATGCAATTTGTTCTATAGCAGGTTGAAGTGTATAGCAGTAGAAACTATACCGATCTTAAAGTTCAAGCCATTTATCAATCAATGGCGCTATCATCTGTCAATAATGATATTAGGTAAGACTTGGAGTTGGGACACTCCCTTACAATTAACGTTAAATATGTTGTTGATGTTGTAAAATATTATTTATATATATAACAACAACAGTGTTTTCAGCAAAAAGCTAGTTAACTATAATAAGTAGTACCAGTTAGTAGCTCCTTTACTGATGGGGAAATTCACATGTATTATCAAGTAGGAACCGTCTTTATATTTAAAATGTTATACACACACCATATGGTACCTCAGGCAGTAAGAAATTATTGGTAATATGGTATTTAATATCTTAATAAATGTTTCATTTATCTATATCTCACTTCTCAGACTGGACGCTGAGCAGCTGCTGTGTGTGGTTATGTCTCTCAGTGACCAATGCACTTTTGGTCTCTCGTAATTGTACTGTCAGATTATCCAGTTGATCCTAAAACACCATTGTATCATTGTATCCATCACTTAAATAATCTAGGTTTGGTCTACATCCTACAGTGCTTGACTTCAAAATAACAAGTAGAACCTTTCTTGTTCGTACATAGCATAGCCATAAAACTTGTGACATTGTCAAAGAATTACTAAGTCTGAACTATTGAGGTTAGAGTAATTACAATATGATCTATAGGTACAATTTGTTTTTCAGGATTAATTTTGCCAACAGTGTCATTTACAAATGAAGGTTTACTATACTAATCAAAAAATTAGTTCTGTTCATTAAATAAAATTATAAATGCCTCAAATTCAATTTTATTATTTTTTTTATTCTGAAATTAAACCATAACCTAACCAAACTAACCAGACTGGCTGATAATTAAAAAGAAAAATCTAATGAAGGTTTAATTGAAAAAAAAAACAAACAGTTCTGTTCATAAAATAAAACTATAAATGGCTGAAATTCCATTTTATGTTTTAATTATACAATTAAAATGTCATAACCAAACAAAACCAACCAAACTTGCTGATAATAAAAAAATCCTAGACAAAAAGATAGTACTATCGGTAGGATTTGAACCCGGCCCTCCCGTTTATAAGACCAGCACTTTATCCACTATGCCACCGAGGCCGATGACGGCATTTTGTATTGTTCCGGTAATGGTGTTCCCTAAGCCAATCAGAAGCCTACAAATGACACTGTTGGCAAAATTAAACCTGAAATAAAAATTCAGCGATCTATAGAGAATTGATTACAGTTTCAACTTGTTATAAACATGTGATAACGTATTTATTTTGAATTTTTTACGGCTGCAGAAAAATTCCTACCACCCACTTCAGCAGTATAAGTTTTTGGTTTTTAGGCCTACTATTTTTTACTTAATCATTATGTATTTTTCACATTGCTAAGCACTAACACAATAATTATGACAAAAGGACAAGATAAAAAGTTGGGAGTGAGTTTTCTTTGAAATTTTTACTTTACAATTATAACCCAACAAAAATGACTGAGGAATTTCCCCCTATTGTGGATTTCAAATATTAACTCTCTACAGTGCCCAGTCAATTTTATGAGGAAATACTTGATACTATTTTGCTTTTTGGGGCCGGTGTGTCATCTGAAGCTTATTGTGCTTACTATTTTGCTTAATACTATTCATTACTTTGCATGTTGATTTTCCTGAGAAATACTAGTTGAAAATATTGATTGGATACCTGCAGAGAGCGAATGTGTTTGTGTTGATCTTTGATTATAGACTCATTGTCTTTAATACGATGAAGAAGCATTTCCCTCTCACGAGAATTCTGCTCTTCCGAAATAGCTTTGTCTCTTTGCAGGGACTTGAGCTAAACCAAGAAAAGTTGTTTTATTCCTTTATGAGCTAAGTAAAACCTTTAACTGAACTGATTTGTGTAATTGATCGCAGTATCCAAAAGTTAAAAGACATTTATTTTTGTCTCTGCTGTTTTACAGTTTAACTTATCTGGTATGAACATAGTTTTTTTTTACATTTTCTATAAACTATTTTTATAATATAATTATTTTGAAATTAACAGTTCAAAAAGATTGATTACGAAATATACATACGAGTTTATTAAACTTATTAAAACATTCTAGTAAGACATATTTTAAATAAATTAATCCTTTGAATTTATTTTGTTGAATAAATATGTTTATATCGCTGTGATAGGTTGTCTATTGAAATTTAAAGACATTTTAGTCAAATGAATCACTAACATTCTTTTTCTAAAAACTTCATCTTCATAAAGCCCTTGGCCAAGTTTGAACAAATAAAGCAACTGACATATGAATTTTTTATTTCCAAAACACTGTTGTACCAAAACCATCTAAGCAACATTTGATTGTGTCATTTGTAAGGGTGACATACTTCCTGGTGCACTGCTCGTTCTGCATGACAGTGCATGTGGTTGGACAGTTTATCCTCCAAATCCTCTCTGTCTCGATACAACAGTTCAATAGTTTTCTTCATTTCATGCAATATATCCTTCAGTTCCTCTAGTCTGTCTTCTGTTTCATCCTGAAAACAATTTTGAAATATGTAGGAATAAGATTTAGGAAAAATTCAAGGAAAACTACGACTCTGGCAATGGTTTACCCAAATTTAAATTTTGCCTGACCAACTGTCTCGTTTTATCCTTTCTTTAATGTCTTTTGTAAATTCGATATCAGTATGGACCATCATACGTCATGTATCCTAGTAATCCAAAGGTGGACACTTGATGGTTTGATCCTGAGAAAAGTGTATAGCTTTTTTATGGTTTAAAAATCTAAACTGGACCCAGTTGGCCTTGATCGTTGGGCTAATGGTCCTGGGTAATTAAACAGCAGATCTTAGTACCAAAGCTACACAAGGTATCACAATGCATTTAATGAGTATGATGAACCCTTTAAGAAGTGAAATGCTTTTGAAGAATAGTTAGACTGGAATTTTACCGCTGAAATGAGCTTTGCACAGCCGGCGCTAGGATCACTCGTGCGGCAGCCGCGCTACTCTCTCTCTCTCTCTCTCTCTCTCTCTCACTCAGCCAGCTGATTTGTCCGTGCTACTCGCAATAGTAGCACCTTCGCTACCTAGTAGCCGCCGTGGGAAACTATCCAAAATTCAAATATTCCCAGACTGAATTTTTAACAAAGGCATTGCGCTTCTTAAAGGGTGAATATTTGTGTTAAAATACGGTCCATCTCAATGATTGATAACTGATATTAAGGGAATATAGTCATAAACGTTCTTTTTAAAGAGGTTGGACTGCTTCTTTCAATCTAGCATTTGCCCGCTCCCATGGGCTTGGAACATATCCTGCAAAGCAAACACAATGGGTGAGCCATTCCAATACAAGAATTTACTGTGATGGCCGACTCCAAACCTTGCCGCCGCTGTGTTACAGTCTGCTGCGTTACCAACTGACACGCCAAGTGACCAAACTCACTATAGATAGAGTCTCAATCAGTTGGTTTTGAACCGGTGTTTTTTCAAAAAAGTGTTCATTGACATATTTTGTTTTTTTTTCTATTATATGTTTGTCTTTTTAGAAAGATCATCTAATAATTTGTTACTTCAGCTGTGTGTTTCCTGGCAATGCTTGGTTTTTTATGCTCTACATTCCTTTTAACTTGAAAATCCTGCTCATGAATCTTGTGTTTTACTAATATGTGATGGAAAATGTCTCCCATAATCCTTTAAACAACAAATCTATACTGCTATCAACTATAATGTTCATTAGTCATTCCTAATTCACTGTGAAAATGTGTAAACTTGTTGTTACTGAAATTCGTCTTAAAGCACAAAAGGGTATTCATTAATTAAAATTTCCCCGGCTACCTGGCTTCTCTGTAGCTTCTGAATGGTGTGTCCTCGTTGCTCTAGTCTTTGTTCCAGTTCTTCCTGATTCCTCTTGGACTCCACCATCACCCTAACAGCGTGTCTCATCTTGCTGTATAACTCCTCGTGGTCCTTCTGCAGCTGTTCCTTCGTCCTCTGACTCTCCACTAGAATCCTCTCCATATACTTCCTGTTCTCTAGCAGTTCTCGGACTTTCGACTGCAACTGTTCAATATCCCTAAAATGAAGCAATGTGAAAAAATGAGAG